GTAGTAGTAGTAGTAATAGATTTTTTCATTAGTAGTAGTAGCAGCAGAGACAATAACCAGTAGTTAAAGTAATGGAAGTAAAAATAATGGACCATTAGCTCATGTAATTCAATGCTTTCAACATGATATTTGACAACGGATATGTCTTCAGTTTATGTTTGATAGCAAATGTCTTTGATGGTTACTTTTAGCTAAAGTCTATGCCTTTTAAAGCATTGCATAAGAATGTTGATGGTGACATCAACTGGGACATACGATGACCAGGAAATAAATGGCTTTATTAGAATGGACAGCAGTTTTAGGAAATGATAGTCAAGTTTTACATTACTTTATTTTCCTATCTTAAATTAAGTTTAGCATTGTATCATACCAAGCTTTGTATGATATCAGGAAATTGAAATAAAAGAAGTGATATGATTAATATTAGTTGGTCAAAGATCAGTTTACTACTTTAAATGCTAAAAAAAGAAGTTTTTTGAATGCTTAAAATAATAAATAAATGAAATTTTCAATAACATCTAATGTTATTTTCAATGTAATTTTTTAACTTTTAATTTTTTTTAAATTTATTTCAGCGAATATTGTTGAAATTAATGCTATCTGTCTGTTTGTATGTTTTTATTTCAAATAATAATCCAATTTTTGTGTTTTTTGTTATTATACTTGTATTTACAGGCTGATAGATAGACAGACAGACAGACACACACACATACATACATTTAATATAAATATATTTCTCGATGACAAAATTTCCAGACTTCCATCACCATCAATTCGTGCACCAACGACAATTCACTCGCATACGACAGCTGCAGCGCATGCAGCAAACTCACGTCTTGCAACACCAACACGAAGCGTAACTAAACAAGGTAAAGTGTTTTTTTGTTTTTTCTTTTCTAATTAATTTGCAAAATTCTAATTTAATAACATTTATGAATTCATATATATATTTGCTAATATATAAAAAGCTTTAGTAAATTTTTTAAAAATTTAATCTAACAAGTAAATAATGTTATTTACAAATATGAGACAAAATTATTGACCTTTGACTT